AATTGAGTAATTCTGAGAGAGAAAAGTTAACCAGATTAGAACGCTGAGAACGAGAAAGGGGCGGGGAGGAAATCGGAAATTATCTGCTCTGTTTCTTAGCGGGCTACGGAGTTTCCACGGGTCTTAACCTGTGACTAAGTTCTATGACTTCTCCGGAAAATGTCCCAAAGCCCAGCCGAAAATAATATTAAATATGGCATTACTGAAAAAGAGAACCAGAAAAACTCCCCCAGCAACTAAACCAGTTAAAAAAGTTTCTTCTCCCCCATCATCCAACCATTTCACCCAAAAAGAGTTAAAGCAGGCTTACGATATGGTCGTCAATGACTTATTCGACTGTTTTCAGCAAATGGAAGTAGGACAAAGTGTCAAGCTGGGACCTTTAGGAGTTTTTAAAAAAACCGCTCGGCAATACGACATAACCGATGATGAGGGTCAAAGACATAAAGGATCTTATTATCATTTCGGCTTCAAAATGTTTAAGAGTGTGCGACAACAACTCCAAGACTAGCAAAATATTATTATGGTGTTTAAGAGTAATACATTAGGGCAGCAACCCGGAAATAAATTTGGTTTGGAAAGTTCGGAAAAAAACGAGCAAGCCGAGTTAGTGGAAAGAATAATCCAAAAATACTTCACCAAGGAAAATTTACTGATTTTATCAGGAGCCTTGGCTTTTATTCTGTTGCGAGCTGATTTTCAAAAAGAATGGTTACTACCCGTAATCTCCTTAGTTTGTCTGCTGCTCTTTTTCTACAAGGAAGACGTAAAAGAATTGCCGCTCTTGGAATATTTGCCTTTGGTGGGAGCTTTTTCTTCTGGTTTTGGTAGTTTGGTGCTGTTGACGCAAAAGTAGTACATTATGCCGAGCAAACTTTTTGAGCGAAATTTTAATAATACGAAAAGCCGGAGTGATAACGAAGCTCTGGTTTCTTTTTCGCCCCTGTTTACTTCCGTAGTAGCCCAAGCTCTTTCTTTGCTTCCGTCCTTGCTTGAACCAGTCCTGGGTCAAAAACTTCCTCCGGTGTTAACCGGTGGAGAAGTAGCCGAATTACGGAACGCTTTACAAGACTTTGGGAACAAGTTACAAAAAGTTCTCGAACAGCAAGACACTATTGGGGATACTTTACTACAAATGAAAAATGATATTAGTGAACTCAAAAGCAATTCCAACAATTCTTCCCAACAATTAACTAATATCAATAACAAATTCCAGAATGTT